TCCGAGGAAGAATCATAGGGTGGGAGTAGGGGCTCATTCAGCTGAACAAACATGTCTCTACTTACATACCTCTTTACTTTCTCAGCCGCCCTCTTTATCACCTCACTTTCGTCCAAGGGGTTAGTCAACTCATACGCGGCACCATCTCGTATAATTTCTGTTATAGTGTACGGACCCCTCCACTTGGTATTCAACTTCCTACTGGTCCCAGGGTTGGGCCATTCATTCCTCACCCATACTGTTTCTCCTAACTGCACAGTTTGGTTCGTTCTTGATCTATTTGCTCTCTCTCTGGTCTCTCGTGACATTCTGGCAGACATCTCTTTTATCAACCTATGGGCTTCTTTCAACTCTTGACTACTCTAATTCTCTATTATAGGTAAGTCAATTCCTATTTGTCTTTGTACATGCCTCGAAAAAAAAGCAAAATGGGGCTGTACCCCAGTTGTGCCATGGACAGACGTGTTCAGAGCCGACTGCACGGGACTGAGAAATTTTGACCACTGAAGTGGATTATCTTCACACATGATTGCAAGTGTTGTATTAAAGGTCCTGTGCATTCTCTCTGTGACACTATTACCTCTAGGGTGGTAAGGCAATGTAAAATAGTTCTTAATGCCAGTTACTTTACATACAGTAATTCTCTAAACTGTGTTGCTGTAAATTCACTTCCATTATCTGCAATGACTACTCCAGGGCTACCAAAAACATTAATGAATTTACCAAATTCTCTGGTCACTTCCTGAGTGGATTTGGTTGTCAAAGGATAAAATTGACAAACGTAGAATAGTGATCTATGACGGTCAACACATAGCGATATCCATTCACACTATTATGTAAGTCTGTCAAGTCCACAGATACTCTCTCCAAAGGTTTAGTTACTTCTGACATCCCCTGCCATTGCTGTTCTAACCCTTTTGTCCCTATGAATCTTTGACACACTTCACATGATTCTACAAATTTCACACAGTCTCTGCAATAATTGGGCCAATAGAAAAGGCCTTCTACTCTGGCTATAGTCTTCCACTGTCCTAAGTGACCTGAGGCCTCTCTGTTATGTGCCCACTCTAGTGCTGCTCTACGCAAATGATCAGGTATTACAAGGCAGTACATCAATGCTTTATCAATTTGTTCCTTCACTAAATACAATACCCCCTCCACTACTTTAAATTTGTCAATAGTCGTCTTGGGATATTTATGTTTGGGTACCTGTCCTCCTTCTAAATAACTAGCCAATGCTTCCCATCTCTCTTCTTTTCTTTGTTCTACTCCTAACTGCCGATGCGTTAACCCGTCTAGCTGAGGGAACTGACCTGCCGTCCTACTCCTGGCTACTTTCCTTAGGGCCCCTACCGGCCTACTCAATGCGTCCGCGACTAGATTTGCCTTTCCAGGTTTGTACTCTATCTTATAGATGTAATCCTTCATTTCCAACATCCATCTATTCATTCTTTGACTTTTAGTTTTCTTGTTAAAAACAGACGTTAACGGCTGGTGATCAGTTTTGATGGTGAATTGGGAACCCCACAAAAAATGATGGAAAAATCTACAGGCTAACACTATTCCTAATGCTTCTTGGTCAGTGGTGGAATACCGTGTTTCCGCGGGCTTTAGTTTCCGAGAGAAATACCCAACAGGACGCAAAGAACCGTCATCCTGTGTAGCTCAAAGGGTTTATCCATGTCTACTTTTACCAGTACTGGAAAGGAAGCTAATGTCCGCTTTAACGTTTCAAAAGCTGTCTGGCATTCTTCTGTCCAAGCAAAGGCAGCCTGTTTCTTAGTGAGTTCTGTGATAGGATATGCAATCTTAGCAAAATTGGAAACATGCTTACGATAAAACCCGCACATCCCTAAAAATTGTTGGACTTGTTTGACATTAGTGGATGGTTTACACTCTGTTACTGCTTTTACATTCTCAGGATCCGGCTCAATGCCTTTCTCTGGCACAATATGTCCCAAGAATTTTACTTGTCTTTGACCAAACTGACATTTAGATAGATTTAATTTGATTCCCATATTTACAAACCTGTCAAATACTTTAGCCAATCTGCCCATGAGGGTATTGAGATCATTAGCCCACACATGACATCATCTAGATAGTTCCTGACCCAATCTTCTTCTGCTAAAGGAGCTAAGACCCTGTTTACTTCCCTAGTAAAAACGGCTGGGCTGGCTGACAAACCAAAAGGGAGGCATTTGAACCGCCATAAATTATATCCATCACTGAAGGTGGTTATGTCTCTACTGTGAGGACCAAGAATTACCTGATAGTAAGCATCTTTCAAATCTAAGGTGGCATAATATTTATTTCCGGCAGCCTTCTCAACTAATTCATCCAATCTTGGCAAGGGTTGTATATCTACTTTCAAGTGTTTGTTGACTGCTCGGAAATCGAGGCACATACGTTTCGATCCATTAGGTTTAGTTACTAACACGATAGGTGATAGCCAGACAGCGGTTGATGGTTCAATGATGTCCCTATCTCTCATGTCTCTCATCATTTCTTTAATAGTACCCTTGGCTTTCTCGGGATACCTATACTGAGGTCCTCTTACAGGTTGTTCATTGACCAATGGGATGTTAGCTGGCAAACCCTTAATTGTTCCTATTTCATTTGGACCTAAGACAAACAATGCATCATGATTCATTACCACCTGTTGCAACTGTGTCCGCATGTCCCTATCCAAGTGTGGCCATTGCTGGGTCCTAATTAACTCCTTCAATTTGTCCTGTCTAGTTTCTCCACGCTTCACTTCATCACAGTCTGGTACCATAGAATTTAATACTTCTTGAGCTCGTCTAATTTTCTGGACTGGGGAATTTTCCATACCCCTACAAAGTATGCATTGAGTTGGGAATTTCACATCATGAGTCAATCTTAAGGGGATTTTGTTAGACCTCTTATCATTTTCTCTCTGTATGGCCAGGTGATGTGGTGAGCACAGTGGTATTTCTACAGACCGGTCTACCTTACCTAACTCTTCATAAATGTGTGAGATAGTTCCGAGATTATGCCCTTCATCATCAAAGTAACAGAATTCATCATCATTAACTACTTCATATTCACCTAAAACCGTACCAGGACTCAAACACACTGGCTGCTCCGAAACATTACTCATAGGAACACAAACACAGGAATCATCTTGGACTACCACACATATATCCGGTTGTTGTTTCAACCCCTTATGCGTAAATCTGATACCTAAGGTCTGACCTAACCCTACCTTCACTTTAACTGGTCTAATCTGAGAACTGTGCCCACTTATTATAGTCTTCCTATCAACGTGTAAGTTAGTTAGCTCCTTGGGAGAAGATAAGATCGAAGCATTCGTGAGCTGTTTGACTTTGACAACCGTTCGCAACTTTCCTCCATGACTTGGTTTCCAATAAACTTGTTTATGACCCCCCCCCCCAAATGAACTGATTTTTTTCGTGATGCCACCAAACTCCAAATCTGCCTAAAATGTCTGCTCCCAATAATACATCAGTGTCCAACATGCTATCTTCCACTATTACAGCTTGGTGGCGGATTCTTTTCCTACGGGACAACTGTACACTGATGACAACAGTGCCTTGGGCCTTAAACTCTTCCCTGTTAAGAGCTACATATCTCTCGGTACAAGGCCTAATGGGCCCCACCTTCAAGGCCCTCACCAAACTATCATTAATGATCGTAGATTCACTACCCGTATCAACCAACGTTATACAAGTATGTCCACATATAGGTAACTTAATACATGGAGAACTGTGTGGGTATGGATGTCGTGGTCATTGGCCCGAAGGGGGATTCCTAGCTTGGCGTCTTGGACAAGTGGAAAAGAAACTCCTACAGTTCATCCTCATGCACATGTAACATGAACCTGGTCTGGGCCTGGAGGGACAATTATGCGGGCTATGACTGTCCCTCCTACAATACCCACACCATTCATTCCCTGTCCAACTTTGAGTGTTAGTCTCCTTCCACCTCGTGTTCTGATCCCGTCTGCCGTCAGTCTCGTTCATACGGTAGTCTCCCTGAACTCTATAATTCTCAAATATTGTCGTGGGTTGTACTTGTTCGTGGCGGGATTGTCTAAAGTGATATAAGTCCCTGCTATCCCCACCCAGATATTCACTCCTACTTCGCTCTAACATTCTTACAAATGAATCCAATGTACGGCAGTCTTGTATATAGGGGGTTAAGTCTCTCTGCATTGGTTTAGGCACAGCTCTGTACAGTCTTTGTATTATGTAAGTATCTTTAGTGGTTACTGCTCCAAACTACTTCTCCATGACTGCCAACCTCGCTCTCATGTCACCTACATAATATCGGGGGTTATTATTCACGTTATACACGATTCGTTTCAACACCTCGCATGCTTCATCTTCGGTGGATGGTCCTAAATTCAATCTTAACATAACCTTTCTGAAACTGTCCCAGTCCTCACTAACTGCCACTAACAATGGCCGTACCAACTTGGCCACGCTGTTTTCCATCCAACTCAGGGCAGTTGATATTCTTCCCTCATCCTCTGTCACACATCTTTCAACTTTCCAAAAAAACTTACTAAGGACCTCGTCTACCTGTAAGCTCTGCAATTCTTCCAATGTCAGCTTATCAGTATGGTTAAAGTGGCATGGAATGTTTACGCTGACGGCGCTCCTACTATTTGGTAGTGGGGTTGTGTCATCTCCTACAACTGACTCTTGCTCATTGTTTGGGTTCTTTGCATGCTGGAGTGTTTGTTTTAGTTCCTTAATCTGTTTCTGTAATTCTTCTAACTCCGAGTATTGTCTCTCGTTGATCAGCAACGCCCGTTCCAATCTCTCTGCCAATGTGTCCCCAACTATGGTACTTCCCTGTTCTACTGACTCATCCATTTTGACCTAAAAATGTTACCCCTCGACCCAAGACAAATACGAACCACTTAACACAACTACTCTCCTGTACTACTACAACCTGAATTGATCAATGGTACAATACCACACCTTAACATGGCACCAAAAATTATAACTCACATGAACTGGAGACCAAAAGTCCTATGGTATTCCATAGGCGAACCACTTGAGACACTTCTCAGACACAGTGTGGACTCCCTTACTTCAACGCCAACAAGGTTAATCCACAACTTCTGTAATTATTAATACATATTAACACTGGATAAAACACCAACACACAACACATCAATGACACACATGACTTCAGTACTGTATAAATTTTTAAAAATTCTTCTTACATTTCTGTACTCAATGTTATTCACCTGCAAGTATCCCTCAAAAATCAGATAATCCATCATTAAAATACTTGTCTATTTCTGCAACGTAAATCACAGCTTCAATTCCCTCGGATTTGATCAATGATTAAAAACCATCCCACCGCTATAGCCACCAATTTATACTGCCAGACTGGGGGTCACTAATGCTAAGGGGGAATACTTAACTCTATCTTAATTTCTAAGGGTTGCTGCCACCAGACCCCCTCTGGACAGCATGTAGCTCGTTAGGTAGCGTGCAGAGTGGACTAGGCAATGGGCTAGGTTTTCCATTGACCAGATCGATAAGGGGAAAGAAGGGTGAAACCACAATATGTCTTAATTAATTTATTCCTTATAAAGCATACTGGTAAAAAACATACACATGAATTGGTCTTCCTCGGAAGAACTACGAAAATGTTGGTTACCCAGATGGGCACCAGACTCTTACATTAATGGCGTGTTATCCACATACTTACTGCATAACAATCTGTGACCACCTTACCTTGGTCATTCCTTCTTACACTAGCCCTTAACACATCAGACTGCTCCACCTATATGGAATATAGCACCGTCGGTTATCATACATAGTAGCACCATCTCAACACACCTGTTACACTCCACACCTGCAGGTATGGGACTCCTTGTAACTTTTAGGTATACACAACAGGCACCTCGTTCGCACACCGCCCTCGGTGGGTAAAGACGAGGGATTCACCAAGAGACATACCAGTACTATTTCTACGCCTGGTATTATAGGTCGCTCCAAGTGGCGACCGCAGAGTTTCTCAAGGTTTCCTTATTTGTTACTACTCATTTGGAGTGGTGTGCTGGAAATCCACAGGTTCACAGTGGATTGGCATAGCTGGGAGTATTCACCACATGTTGGGACGCTCATAGGGATAATGGCTGCCGGGCAACAAGGCACTCCGACCGCATGGGACCTGAGGTGACGGTAGAACGGAGGGTACTGAGGGCAGTGCCCTGCCGCTCGTCACCGCATAGGCCTACAGTTTCCAATCTTTAATTTTTACTTTAATTTCTTAAGGTTCTCACCTGAACACTTTTCGGTAAATTGTCACTCATGCCGTATAAACACATATTTTAATCCTAAATTACACACTAAGGTAAGGTCTTGGTTTGCTAGTTCGTGGGTAAATTCATTGGGTTATAATATCAACGCGGCACACCCGAGGCGGGTACATGACGCGCCTTAAAACAAAGGCTGAATGTTCATGGCGGGGGTGTATCAACTTCACTTAAAACTGTAATGAGGGATCCTCCTCTCACACATTGCACTATTTGAACACAGACATAAGATTCTCTGATCACTGTACCTGTCGTGGGTATATGTCACGTGAGGATACGAGGTGTATTAAGTTCATACCGACGCATACAAGATATTTCCTTTCAAGTATAGTTTCTGGGTCACTTCCAACACCTCACATAGTTCTGATACATTTATCCTTTTTCCAGATCATTGTTCTCATGTATTTTCATATGATATCTGTGGAAGTTATGTTCGCTACACGCTCACAGACGTAAATAGTATGACCTTCAAACCCTGATCCACACTTAGTCCTACAGTACACTAGTCCGGCTCAACTGGACTTTAACATTCATCTTATGGATACCCTGAGTTCTCCTTAATGCTATGAATACATACAATTAATATGATATAACTGTACCTGGGTACAATACAACACATGGTCTAGTAACATTGAGTAGGTGAGTTATCCTTTAACAATGTTTCCCGTTTTCTGAGGTTCTACAAGCGCGGTGGATTTGAATGTTATATAGCGTAATATGAATTAAATGGGGTTTTTAGGAATGACAATGATATGCGCAGTACATTACCACGAGGGAGGGAGGAAGGCCCACAAATTAACATTTACTAACAATAATAAACCAGACGGCCACGTTAGATGTACTGTGTCTTAGTTATTACCTTAACACAGCCATACATAATGTTAACTTACCACGAGGGAGGGAGGAAGGCCCACAAATTAACATTTACTAACAATAATAAACCAGACGGCCACGTTAGTTGTACTGTGTCTTATATTACCTTAACACAGCATACATAATGTTAACTCACCAGGAGGGAGGGAGGAAGGCCCACAAATTAACATTTACTAACAATAATAAACCAGACGGCCACGTTAGTTGTACTGTGTCTTAGTTATTACCTTAACACAGCCATACATAATGTTAACTCACCAGGAGGGAGGGAGGAAGGCCCACAAATTAACATTTACTAACAATAATAAACCAGACGGCCACGTTAGTTGTACTGTGTCTTAGTTATTACCTTAACACAGCCATACATAATGTTAACTCACCAGGAGGGAGGGAGGAAGGCCCACAAATTAACATTTACTAACAATAATAAACCAGACGGCCACGTTAGTTGTACTGTGTCTTAGTTAATATCTTAACACAGCCAAACATAATATTAACTTACCAGGAGCGGTCCGACTAATTTCCCAAATGTAGCCAAATATAGCTGGAATGAAGTCAAATAATGGTCCTACTGTAGATGAATAAATCGGACTGCCAATCACTTCTCGACTAGTATTTTGTGTCAGAAAGTAAAAAAAAATTGGAAAACTTACTTTTAATCTGAGTTAATAGATCGCGTGCATGTACCGAGGGAGCGAGGAATTACCCAAATGTAGCCGCAATGAAGTCAAATGATGGTCATACAAGCGTAATTCGGGCTGTGAATCACTTCTCGATTATTATTTGGTGTCATAAAGTAAAAAAAAATTGGTAAACTTAATTTAATCTGAGTTGTGTTGTGTTAGGTTAGATTAGATTAGGTTAGGTACATGCACTTGATCTATTAACTCAGATTAAATTAAGTTTACCAATTTTTTTTGACTTCGTGACACAAAATACTAGTCGAGGTTAGGTTAGGTACATGCACTCGATCTATTAACTCAGATTAAATTAAGTTTACCAATTTTTTGTGACTTTGTGACACCAAATACTAGTCGAGAAGAGATTGGCAGTCCGATTTATTCATGTACGACCATCATTTGACTTCATTCCGGCTACATTTGGGTAATTCCTCGCTCCCTCGGTACATGCACTTGATCTATTAACTCAGATTAAAGTAAGTTTTCCAATTTTTTGTGACTTTGTGACACCAAATACTAGTCGAGAAGTGATTGGCAGTCCGATTTATTCATGTACGACCATCATTTGACTTCATTCCGGCTATATTTGGCTACATTTGGGTAATTAGTCGGACCCACCAGGAGGGAAGGAGGAAGGCCCACAAATTAACATTTACTAACAATAATAAACCAGACGGCCACGTTAGTTGTACTGTGTCTTAGTTATTACCTTAACACAGCCAAACATAATGTTAACTCACCACGAGGGAGGGAGGAAGGCCCACAAATTAACATTTACTAACAATAATAAACCAGACGGCCACGTTAGTTGTACTGTGTCTTAGTTATTACCTTAACACAGCCAAACATAATGTTAACTCACCACGAGGGAGGGAGGAAGGCCCACAAATTAACATTTACTAACAATAATAAACCAGACGGCCACGTTAGTTGTACTGTGTCTTAGTTATTACCTTAACACAGCCATACATAATGTTAACTCACCAGGAGGGAGGGAGGAAGGCCCACAAATTAACATTTACTAACAATAATAAACCAGACGACCACGTTAGTTGTACTGTGTCTTAGTTATTACCTTAACACAGCCATACATAAAGTTAACTCACCAGGAGGGAGGGAGGAAGGCCCACAAATTAACATTTACTAACAATAATAAACTAGACGACCACGTTAGTTGTACTGTGTCTTAGTTATTACCTTAACACAGCCATACATAATGTTAACTCACCAGGAGGGAGGGAGGAAGGCCCACAAATTAACATTTACTAACAATAATAAACCAGACGACCACGTTAGTTGTACTGTGTCTTAGTTATTACCTTAACACAGCCATACATAATGTTAACTCACCAGGAGGGAGGGAGGAAGGCCCACAAATTAACATTTACTAACAATAATAAACTAGACGGCCACGTTAGTTGTACTGTGTCTTAGTTATTACCTTAACACAGCCATACATAATGTTAACTTACCAGGAGGGAGGGAGGAAGGCCCACAAATTAACATTTACTAACAATAATAAACCAGACGGCCACGTTAGTTGTACTGTGTCTTAGTTATTACCTTAACACAGCCATACATAATGTTAACTCACCAGGAGGGAGGAGGGAAGGCCCACAAATTAACATTTACTAACAATAATAAACCAGACGGCCACGTTAGTTGTACTGTGTCTTAGTTATTACCTTAACACAGCCATACATAATGTTAACTCACCAGGAGGGAGGAGGGAAGGCCCACAAATTAACATTTACTAACAATAATAAACCAGACGGCCACGTTAGTTGTACTGTGTCTTAGTTATTACCTTAACACAGCCATACATAATGTTAACTCACCAGGAGGGAGGGAGGAAGGCCCACAAATTAACATTTACTAACAATAATAAACCAGATTCACGGCCAGCCTGTGTCTTGAAGTATTACCTTTACAGCCATACATAATGCTAACTTTCACCAGGAGGAAGGAGGGTAGCCCACAACCAACATTTACTAAACAATAATAACCAGACGACTATTGTTAGTTGTAATTGTGTCTTAGTTATTACCTTAATACAGCGCATACACAAAGTTAACTTCACCAGGAGGAAGGAGGAAGGCCTAGCAACTAAACATTTACTAACAATAATAAAACCTTAGACGGCCATGTTAGTTGTGTATTGTGTCTTAGTTATTACCTTAACACAGCCATATATAATGTTAACTTACCAGGAGGGAGGGAGGAAGGCCCACAAATTAACATTTACTAACAATAATAATCCAGACGGCCACGTTAGTTGTACTGTGTCTTAGTTATTACCTTAACACAGCCATACATAGTGTTAACTTACCACGAGGGAGGGAGGAAGGCCTACAAATTAACATTTACTAACAATAATAATCCAGACGGCCACGTTAGTTGTACTGTGTCTTAGTTATTACCTTAACACAGCCATACATAATGTTAACTTACCAGGAGGGAGGGAGGAAGGCCCACAAATTAACATTTACTAACAATAATAAACCAGACGGCCACGTTAGTTGTACTGTGTCTTAGTTATTACCTTAACACAGCCATACATAATGTTAACTTACCAGGAGGGAGGGAGGAAGGCCCACAAATTAACATTTACTAACAATAATAAACCAGACGACCACGTTAGTTGTACTGTGTCTTAGTTATTACCTTAACACAGCCATACATAATGTTAACTTACCAGGAGGGAGGAAGGAAGGCCCACAAATTAACATTTACTAACAATAATAAACCAGACGACCACGTTAGTTGTACTGTGTCTTAGTTATTACCTTAACACAGCCATACATAAAGTTAACTCACCAGGAGGGAGGAAGGAAGGCCCACAAATTAACATTTACTAACAATAATAAACCAGACGGCCACGTTAGTTGTACTGTGTCTTAGTTATTACCTTAACACAGCCATACATAATGTTAACTCACCAGGAGGGAGGGAGGAAGGCCCACAAATTAACATTTACTAACAATAATAAACCAGACGGCCACGTTAGTTGTACTGTGTCTTAGTTATTACCTTAACACAGCCATACATAATGTTAACTCACCAGGAGGGAGGAAGGAAGGCCACAAATTAACATTTACTAACAATAATAAACCAGACGACCACGTTAGTTGTACTGTGTCTTAGTTATTACCTTAACACAGCCATACATAATGTTAACTCACCAGGAGGGAGGGAGGAAGGCCCACAAATTAACATTTACTAACAATAATAAACCAGACGGCCACGTTAGTTGTACTGTGTCTTAGTTATTACCTTAACACAGCCATACATAATGTTAACTTACCAGGAGGGAGGGAGGAAGGCCCACAAATTAACATTTAGTAACAATAATAAACCAGACGGCCACGTTAGTTGTACTGTGTCTTAGTTATTACCTTAACACAGCCATACATAATGTTAACTTACCAGGAGGGAGGGAGGAAGGCCCACAAATTAACATTTACTAACAATAATAAACCAGACGACCACGTTAGTTGTACTGTGTCTTAGTTATTACCTTAACACAGCCATACATAATGTTAACTCACCAGGAGGGAGGAAGGAAGGCCCACAAATTAACATTTACTAACAATAATAAACCAGACGGCCACGTTAGATGTACTGTGTCTTAGTTATTACCTTAACACAGCCATACATAATGTTAACTTACCACGAGGGAGGGAGGAAGGCCCGCAAATTAACATTTACTAACAATAATAAACCAGACGGCCACGTTAGTTTTACTGTGTCTTAGTTAATATCTTAACACAGCCAAACATAATATTAACTTACCAGGAGGGGAGGGAGGAGAGCCCCTGAAATTACTTTACTAACAATAATAAACCAGACATGCACGTTGGTTGTACTGTGTCTTAGTTATTACCTTAACACAGCCATATAATCAGTAACTTACCACGAGGGAGGGAGGAAGGCCCACAAATTAACATTTACTAACAATAATAAACCAGACGACCACGTTAGTTGTACTGTGTCTTAGTTATTACCTTAACACAGCCATACATAATGTTAACTTACCACGAGGGAGGGAGGAAGGCCCACAAATTAACATTTACTAACAATAATAAACCAGACGACCACGTTAGTTGTACTGTGTCTTAGTTATTACCTTAACACAGCCATACATAATGTTAACTTACCAGGAGGGAGGAAGGCCCACAAATTAACATATACTAACAATAATAAACCAGACGGCCACGTTAGTTGTACTGTGTCTTAGTTATTACCTTAACACAGCCATACATAATGTTAACTTACCAGGAGGGAGGCCCACAAATTAACAATTTACTAACAATAATAAACCAGACAGCCGCGTTAGTTGTACTGTGTCTTGAGTTATTACCATAACACAGCCATACACATAATGTTAACTCACCCAGGAGGAGGGAGGGAGAAGGCCCTGAGTAACATTTTACTAACAATAATAAACCAGACGGCATTAGTTAATGTCTTAGTTATTACCTTAACAGCCATGCATAATGTTAACTTACCCGAGGAGGGAGGAGGAAGGCCCACAAATTAGCATTTACTAACAATAATAAACCAGACGGCCACGTTAGTTGTACTGTGTCTTAGTTATTACCTTAACACAGCCATACATAATGTTAACTTACCAGGAGGGAGGAGGAAGGCCCACAAATTAACATTTACTAACAATAATAAACCAGACGGCCACGTTAGTTGTACTGTGTCTTAGTTATTACCTTAACACAGCCATACATAATGTTAACTTACCAGGAGGGAGGGAGGAAGGCCCACAAATTAACATTTACTAACAATAATAAACCAGACGGCCACGTTAGTTGTACTGTGTCTTAGTTATTACCTTAACACAGCCATACATAATGTTAACTCACCAGGAGGGAGGGAGGAAGGCCCACAAATTAACATTTACTAACAATAATAAACCAGACGGCCACGTTAGTTGTACTGTGTCTTAGTTATTACCTTAACACAGCCATACATAATGTTAACTCACCAGGAGGGAGGAAGGAAGGCCCACAAATTAACATTTACTAACAATAATAAACCAGACGACCACGTTAGTTGTACTGTGTCTTAGTTATTACCTTAACACAGCCATACATAATGTTAACTCACCAGGAGGGAGGGAGGAAGGCCCACAAATTAACATTTACTAACAATAATAAACCAGACGACCACGTTAGTTGTACTGTGTCTTAGTTATTACCTTAACACAGCCATACATAATGTTAACTTACCAGGAGGGAGGGAGGAAGGCCCACAAATTAACATTTACTAACAATAATAAACCAGACGGCCACGTTAGTTGTACTGTGTCTTAGTTATTACCTTAACACAGCCATACATAATGTTAACTCACCAGGAGGGAGGGAGGAAGGCCCACAAATTAACATTTACTAACAATAATAAACCAGACGGCACGTTAGTTGTACTGTGTCTTAGTTATTACCTTAACACAGCCATACATAATGTTAACTCACCAGGAGGGAGGGAGGAAGGCCCACAAATTAACATTTACTAACAATAATAAACCAGACGGCCACGTTAGATGTACTGTGTCTTAGTTATTACCTTAACACAGCCATACATAATGTTAACTTACCAGGAGGGAGGGAGGAAGGCCCACAAATTAACATTTACTAACAATAATAAACCAGACGGCCACGTTAGTTGTTGTTGATCTGCGTCAACTTGTCCGATTCTCTCTATCTTTCAGTAATTACAACTTTTAATTATTATTACTTTACTAAATGTATTGTAATAATAAATAATACATAATATAAATAAATTATACTTAATTATAATGCTTAATTATTGAATAAATGCCACTTATTGGTAATATATTAATGTTAAACTAAACTTAAGTCTTAGCCACAGAATCAAATATTCGACAGCATTTACAATTCCACCAAAATAAATTAAATAACAAAATATTTTTCCTTTGGTTATTTAAAGTCTATTTACAAATAATTTATTAATATTATAATACTATAATAAGTTATAATGACATAATAAACCGGCTATATTAACTATATAGTAAAATATTCAGATTAATAGAATTTTATACTCCCAAACTAAACAATTATTGAATAATAATTATTAAAAAATTATTAAATATAACAAATAAAGTTAATAATGATTAAATACTAATTATCTTATAAATATTTAATCGCTCTTGAATGATGAGTACCTCTCACTATCATGTCTTGTTGGCCTGATAATCTACTTTCCCGAAAAGTAGAAAAGATAATCTACTTTTCAGGAAAGTAGATAACCAACTTTCCCGGAAAGTAGATATTTCCCATTTTCTATGATACAAATTTCCCGTTTTCTATGATAATCTACTTTGCAAAATTAGGTAATATTTCCCCAAAAAGTCGAAAATCTACTTCCCCTTAAAGTCGATATTCTACTTTATCGAAAAATAGATAATCTTCTCATGGGTAGGTAGGGGGTGGGTGGGTAGGTAGGGGGTGGGTGGGTAGGTAGGGGGTGGGTGGGTAGGTAGGTAGGGGGGTGGGTAGATAGC